TCCCATTCCTTGCGCATTGCAAGGACTACACTTTCACCAATAGCCTCTCATAGGCTCTCCTCATGTTACCAAACCTCAGCTTCTTTGCATGACCCCTTCAGTCCTGGGTCTTCAATCGCCACTGAGGCTGCACCTTCATTAATGGCCTTACCTGACCTCTCATAGTGTCAAGCCTCAGCTGCTCTCTAAGACCCCTTCATGCCTTCCAAACCAGTACCACCTGGGTGACGCTTACTCATTACCAACTCTGGTTGCCAGCATAAGGTACAACCCTGGCCACCTCTGGAACACAGCTTCTCTGTGCTCTCAGGAAACACTTCCCAGATTTCACCAAGGATGTTGATCTCTTCTTAATCATCACTAATTTCTTAGCTCCAGATAACCAGTATAAAGTATCCCAGCAAAGCAAAATTTTGCCTTAGCAGTTATGGTATCTTGTTAACTACAGCTGATTCTTCAGCCCCAGCTGACCAGAACCACATGGTTTTAATCAAAATAACAAATGGCTCTGATAGTCTTTAATCTTCCCTCTGAAACTGTGCAAGCCAGGCCTCCATCTTCTGCACTTCTCTCAATATTCTTAACGTCCAAGTTCCTAAAGGATACCTCTCTGAGCTCTTAACACTCAATGGTTCTTCTAGCCCAAAGTTCCAAAGTCCTTCCACAATCCTCCCCAAAACATAGTCATGTCTGCCACAGCACTACTCCACTATGCTGGTACCAATTTGTCTTGGGATTTCTATTGCTGCAACAAAACTCCATGACCAAAAAGCAAGTTGGGTAGAAAAGGGTGTATTAGGCTTACACTTCAGCATTGTCATTCACCACTGAAGGAAGTTGGGACAGGAACTTAAACAGGGCAGGGTCCTGGAGGCAGGAGCTGATGCAGAGGCCATGGAGGAAGCTGCTTACTGGCTTGCTTTCCATGGTTTTCTCAGCCCACCTTCTTATAGAACCCAGGACCACAGCCCAGAAATGGCCCCACCCACCATGGGCTGGACCTGCCCCCACTGATCACTAAATGAAAAAATGTCTTACAGCTGGATCTCAAGGAGGCATTTCCTTAGCTGAGGCTCCTTCCTCTGATGACACTATAGTTTGTGTTAAGTTGACCAGTACAGGAAGGCTTAGGAGATATGGCTTTGTTGGAAGAAAGTGTGGTACTAAAGGCAAGTTTAGAGAGTTTAAAGACTTGTGCCATTTCCAGTTGTTCTTTCTGCTTCATGTGTGAGCTCTTAGCTCCCTGCTGCAGCAGCCATGCCTCCCCACCATGATGGACTCCTATCTATCTGGAGCCATAATCCCAAATAAACTCTCCTGTACATCACTGTGATGTCTGAATTTTACCACAGAAACAGGAGGCAACTAAGATAAAGGGAAAGAAAGCAGGGATGTCTGTGCTTTCCAGGTAAGGAATGGAATGGTAAGATTCCTGGGCTACCTGGGTATTACCCTTTTGGAGAGAAGAAGGAGGCCTGAGGGTGGCTTGGAAGCCAGTGAGATCTTTGTGGTCTACAAAACAGTGTACCAAACCATACAGTTATTATCCAAAAACCTCAGTCCCTAATGAAATTTGTATGGCAGGATCTCAGACTTGCTGAGGATTTCTTCCTTTATCTCCTCTTTGGGAATGAGAATTCCCGTAAATGTCTTCTTCTGCCTTGCCACCCCTATGCCATAGAGCACTGGTATCATTGGTCCAAGGTAGATCCTGCCCAGAGTCTCACCAGCACCTGTTCTGGGTGGTTTAGATGGTGACAATTGGGGTTCTGGAGCTAATGATGCTCTGTACAGATTTGTACCCACTACTACTGGTGCAGATGTTGGAGTGGGTGGGTGATGGCCAATCTTGTTTCTCAATTTAATGGGATTAAAATCACCTAAGAGATGTACTTCTGGATGTTTCTGTGAAGGATGTTCCAGAGAGCTTTAAGAGAGGTGTGAAGACCTACTCTGAATGTGGCTGCCAGTATTCATGGGCTTGGGTCCAGGACTGAAGGAAAAGAAGAAAGCAAATGGAAAGCTGGAACTCATCTTTCTCTGATTTCTAACTGGAAACATTCCTGCTTCCATGCCTTCTACAGTATGATGGACAGTACCTTCAAACTGTGAGTCTAAACACATCCCTTCCTCCTTAAATTGCTTTTGTCACACTGATGAGAAGACTAACTAATGCTAACACAGAAATATGCTTAGACAGGTGGTGGGATGCTTGAGTGTGGCTGGAATGGAGATGGGGTGGGGTAACTGAATGTACTCTGCACACGGAGCAAATGTGAATATCTGGAGGCTGAGAATAAAGAATGGTAGTTCTTCAAAATGCATGCCATGTGAAATCTCTGGAGTCTGTGGATATCATACATGGAGCACAAGGGTGACCTTAGCTTATTTTGAAAGAGAATTTGCAGATGCTACCAGATGAACAATTTAGAAATGAACCTAGATGTTGTCTAGGATGGTGTTTTATGCCTATAGTCCCAAGACTTCAAAGATGGAAACAAGAGAATTTCTTGAGTTCAAGGCCAGTCTTGACCACAGACCAAAATCTTGTCTTATAAAAACAAGAAATGGGGCTGAAGAGATGTCTCTGTGGTTAAGAGCACTTGCTGCTCTTATAAAAGACCTATGTTCAATTCCCAGCCCACATGACTGCTTATAACCACCTGTAACTCCAGTTTCAAGGGATCCAACACACACTTCTGACTTCTTTAGGTACTATACACACATGGTAAGCAGACATACATGCAGGCAAAGCACCCAAACACATAGCATAAAATTAAATTTAAATTAGCCCCTCAATAAACTCAAAACAAAGAACAACAAAAAGATGTCGGGGCCCATGAAAGTTGATATTTGCTTTAGGGTGTGGTTACCAGATGTTTTGGGTATTGAGAAGGTAATTATGCTTGCTTGTTCTTCGTACCTGAGTAAGGAAGTCTTCTGCTCCCCTCCTTTGATTGGAGTGTATAAGAGCTTTGAGTAATAGACTTGGGGCTGATCCTGTTGTTCACCAGGTGCCCTCCCAACTCTATCTCTTGTTTGCTTCTTTCCTCAGTCCACATTCCCTATCTCAGGTATGGCCTGGACATGTCTGCTGGACCCAAAGATGGCCCTGCAATGTGGGTTACTATGAAAAGAGAAATGAGCTTACCTGGAATATCTGAGTTAGCCTTAAATCCTACCATATCCTTATAAAATAGAGAGACAGAGGCCCACAAAAGCAGAGGAATGTGACCAGGGAGGGAGGAAGACAAGTTAGAAGGCTGCAACCACCAGCCTGTCTGTGGTGGTCTGAATGAAAATGGCTCCCATAGGCTCATATATTTGAATACTTGGTCCCTGATGCTACGCTCCCTGCCATGATGGCCATGGACTCTCACCTTCTGAAACTGTAAACTCCCAACAAACCCTTTCTTCAATAATTTCCCTTGGTCATGATGTCTTCCCACTGCAATGGAAAAGTAAAAAAGACATTAAGAATGCCAACATCCACCAGATGAAACATCCATTCTCCCTTAATCTCTAGAAAGGAGAGAGCTCTTGGCTGAGGCCTTAGGTTTAGGCTTCTGGCTTCCCACTTTCTGAGAAAATACGTTTTTTTTCTATTTGAACCCATTCAGTTTCTAGTAATTTCTTACAGTGGTCTAGGGACCTTAGTTCTGTAGTAAGAAGTATGTAAGTCTGGAGTTTTGATACAGCTGAGTTGGTAGAGGCCCTGAACTAGAAAGGGGGGCATGAGAAATTATGAGCATGGGCATTAGCTCTACCGTCTTGATGATATACATTCTATAAAACTGTTTCCTATTCTAACCCCCACTGTCCATCAGACATCCCTGCGTTGATGGAATGAGGCCTATGCTGTTGATAGATGACTCAACTTGAACCATATGAGCTGCAACAGATATGAAATGGCCTATGGGACTGAAGAAAGGAACTGTTTACTTCTTTTTATCTGAACTCATGGTGACAGTAAGAGACAACAAGACGAAGACAAAGGATCTTAACATGCTTTACAACTCTTCTTCAGCAAACCTAAATGTATCCAGGGCAAGGAAGGCAGGTTTGGACACCCCCAGAGTTTCCTCAGGCCACGTAGCTAGGAACAGAAGTTCTGGCTGCACCCAGGAGAGAAACAGCAATACCCCTAGCATTGTCCAGTTCTCACAGGGCTGTGTTTGCATTGTTTGGTTTTGACTCAATGGCTTAAAAATCACCCACTATGCCACCGTATCTGTTCCCAGATTCTCCTAAGATGCCCAGCTCCAAGAGAGTTGCTGTGGTGTCTAGCCTCCCTGGCCCAGTGCACTCCATATTGGGTATGATGGGGTTGACTCTGGTGAGGTTTGGGGTGTGGAGAAGAAGGTGTAAGAATTTGCCATGAAATTAACACAAGGAACCTCAGAGGACAAACTGGGTAGGGAGAAAATGGCAGGTCTTACTTATGAGAACAAAGAACAACATGGGAATTACAGTGGGCAGACAATGTTTATTGAAGGATGTTTATATCAAAGGCACAGTACACACCGGGACAGAGAATCAGAAAGAACAGAAACCCAGAGGTGGTCAAGAGGAGCTAGGCCTGGCCTGGCCAGTTCTTGTTGGAAAGAAGTTCACAGCTTCCTGGGGCCCGCAAGTTATGGGGAACTCCACAGTCTGCCACTTACCTGCAGACTTGATGGGGCATCCAGGTGAGGCCAGATACCAAGGAGGTCAGAATGTTGGAGGCTGGAGAGAAGGAAGTCGATGGAGTTCTGATCCACTGAGTGTGGAATCAGGAGTGAGCTCCCAGCAAGAAGTCTTCTTCCCCACACCAGGACTAGCCCACTCAGTCTAGAGATGTAGCTTCAGGGCTGGAGGATAAAGATGCAGGAGTGAACCTCAGGGCTCATGGATGCCAGCCCTGTCCCTGTCTGGAGGGAGCTGGTCTGCATGATTACTAGAGGACTGTGACCAGAACCTTAGATCTTACACTGACAGCACACAGGAGCACAGCAGCTGGATTAACAACAGCAGGGCTTGCAGCAGCTGGACTGACAGCAGCAGGGCTTGCAGCAGCTGGACTGACAGCAAGATGACCCACACCCTGAAGAGCAGCAGGGCTTGCAGCAGCTGGATTGACAACAACAGGGCTTGCAACAGCTGGATTGACAGCAAGATGACCCACAGCCTGAAGAGCAGCAGGGCTTGCAGCAGCTGGATTGACAGCAAGATGACCCACAACCTGAAGAGCAGCAGGGCTTGCAGCAGCTGGATTGACAACAACAGGGCTTGCAACAGCTGGATTGACAGCAAGATGACCCACAACCTGAAGAGCAGCAGGGCTTGCAGCAGCTGGATTGACAACAACAGGGCTTGCAACAGCTGGATTGACAGCAAGATGACCCACAACCTGAAGAGCAGCAGGGCTTGCAGCAGCTGGATTGACAGCAAGATGACCCACAACCTGAAGAGCAGCAGGGCTTGCAGCAGCTGGATTGACAACAACAGGGCTTGCAACAGCTGGATTGACAGCAAGATGACCCACAACCTGAAGAGCAGCAGGGCTTGCAGCAGCTGGATTGACAGCAGCAGGGCTTGCAACAGCTGGATTGACAGCAGGAGGACCCACAACCTGAAGAACAACAGGGTTTACAACAACTGGATTGACAGCAGCATGGCTGGCAGCAGCTGGACTTGCAACCTCCACAGGAACCACAGCCTCCATTGCAGCCCCCACAGCTGGAGCAGGAACAGGTAGGCACACAGCAGCACACAGGCTTGCAGCAGCTGGAGCCACAGCCCCCACAGCTGGAGCCACAGCCCCCACAGCTGGAGCCACAGCCTCCGGAACAGCCACAGCAGCTCATGGTTCTGGTGTTGGGTTGAGGATGGAGTAGGTCAGAGGAGCAGGTGTAGAGGGAAGTGTGCAGTGTGGAGTCCCTGGGCCTGGGGCCTTTATATCCCTGCCCAGGATCAGGTGTGAAGTTACACGTGGTTTCTTCCTTGTTCTTGTCTTTCCTGTTTGCTCTATAGTTGTTTGGTAGTTTTTCTTTGGTCTGTTGACTCTCTATGGTTGGAATGTGAATTTTCTGAAATAATTTCCTGTGGAATTCATACTGAAGGAAAACTCTCTCTTACTTGGCCTATGTCATTGGGTGTGGCTTGGTTGGGACTCGGGCTCTTACACCCTTTTGTCCTTGAGAAGGTTCTATTGTCCCTCTGAACAGTGGGCTCCTCTTCTACAGAATGGGGCTTCCAGAATGGCCTCAACAGGTATGAATGCTCTGTGAGATAATTTCTACCTTACACCTCCTTGAACCCCTTACACCCTAGAGCCCCTGTTGAGGGATCCAACCTCTCTGCTGCTGTGTGTCTGAGGCATACTCAGGTCATTGCGTATCCTGCTGAAAATGCCCTCAAATCAGTGCTATGGCACACTCTGCTGCTTCTCTTTGTGTGACCTCTTCCCGGTGGCCACAGCAATGATGGCGGGTTTTCCACTGTGGGTAGATGGGGTCTTTGAGTCTGTCTTCCTGTTCCCAGGACAGTCTCTGTAGCTGTGCCATTCCTAACAGGTGTGATATTCTGAGAGACATGTGTGCCTCTCCCTTCAGCTATCAGATTACTGAGTTATACAAGGAATTTAAATTTCTCCAGGAGTCTCACACTGGCAAAGGGAAAAGCTGAAGTCTGGTGCCAACCAGAAGGGGAGCTTGTCTCCCAGAGAGATCTCACAGAGTTCCGAGAACTTGTCACATCACCTTGCAGGAGAGACTGGAGCTGACAATGATGGGTCAGTGACGGGCAGGACCACACCTTGACCAGGACTGCGTAGCTATGCACACCTCCTGCCCTCTGTTTAAGGCCAAATTTCATGACAGGATCTATGGATGGGCTAGGAAGGTCGCTGGACATCTTTGTTCCTCATCCCAATGTGGCGAATCTGAATACTCCTCCTTTCTCTGCTTTTCACCATGACTTGTCTGTCAATGGACTCATTGAGAGGAGCTGGGTGCAGGTGGTTGTTAGAGCTACTGGGGCCCAGGCTGGAACCCTAATAACCCTGACAACATTGCTGGTGAGATGGTAGGGTACACATTTCCTCTTAGAAATTGACCCAGGACGGGGAGGAAAGATTGAGTGAGCGGCTCGACATAACCAAAGAGTCACTTTATTCTGGGAATGTTTTCTTTAACCTTCCCACTTCAGCCAGCATCATCTGCTTTAACCTCACGATGCAGAGAAATGAATGTCTTGTTTTTGTTTTGGAATCTAGACAAAGTCATTTCTTGGTAAGCTTCTTCTTGGACTATACTTTTCAATTTGGGTCCTTTGAACAACCGTATGACTCTCCTCACTGGTATAGACCTCGAAGCTTTGGCTACTGGACACTCAGGAGGGCACTTTCAATTGCCTCTTAGTTTTAACTTTTCTGTAACATTCAGACAAAACCTAGACAATCTTTAGTGGCACTTGGGTGTTTCAAAAGGCTCCTCCTGCTGGGTGTTGGTGGCGCATACCTTTAATCCCAGCACTTGGGAGGCATAGGCAGGCAGATCTCTGTGAGTTCGAGGCCAGCCTAGTCTACAGAGCGAGTTCGAGGACAGCCTCCAAAACAATACAGAGAAACCCTGTGGGGGGTTGGGGGGCTCCTCCACACATTTTTTCCCTTGGCCTCACAAGTCAGAGTTTGTCATGCCTCTGAAGGACATTGGCACTAGATATTACAGGTGTCTCTCTGGTTTTGTATGTTTGAAGTAAATAATTCAGCCAAAGCATTCAGCCAAAGCCACCTGGGTCTCAGAGGGAGAAGTGGACAAGGGGTCCCACCCCTAGCCAAGAAGTTATCAGAAACTGATATCTACTGGCAAATAGGAAATAAACGTTTTCCCAATAGTCTCTCTGGTATATTAAGCATACTTCAGGGGAGGCCCCATGTGCAGTAGTAAGCCCTAGGAGTAGTTGCCCAACACAAAACAATCTCAATGGTATTTTTGTGGATTTTTTTATTTCATTTTGTTTTGTATGGGCATTTTCCACCTTATGGGTCTTTTGCTTGTTAGTTTTGATTTTCATTTTTATGTTTTTGCAGGTTCTTATGTATATGTGTTTCTTGGATTTTTAATTTTGTTTTTGAGAGAGTGTGAGCATATATTTAGGTGAGTAAGGAGGTAGAAAGAATCTGCGGGGAACTGGGGATGCATGATCAAAATACAGTATATAAAAATTTTCAGTTAAGCTGGTCAGTGGTGGTGCATGCCTTTAATCTTGGCACTTGGGAGGCAGAGGCAGGCATCCTGATCTCTGTGAGTTTGAGGCCGACCTGGCCTACAGAGCGAGTTCTAGGACAGCCAAGGCTATGCAGATAAACCCTGTCTCAAACAACAACACCGTTTTTTTTTCAATTAAAAAAATTAGTCAAGAGACATAGATGGTTTGATTAGAAATTTACTTAGCAAAGCATGCATTACAAATAAAGTTTGAAGTGATCTACCCCAAGGCAGTGATCAGCCTGGTAGCTTCTGGACTGTGGATTTCAAAGAAGGGTTTATGAATATTTATGAAATGGGTGACATATTCATTGAGTTAGATGATTTCTTCACCCTTCCGTGATTTCATGGTAGACCAGATCTTCCTTTTAGGGTTTTTTTCCCATGATCCCCACAAAAGGTGTGTGAGCGTGTGTGTGTGTGTGTGTGTGTGTGTGTGTGTGTGTGTGCGTGTGTAAGCCCACAATGTGATGGGTTCTCTGTTTTTGTGGCTCAAGGGTAATGATAAATATCATAGGTGAGGGTTAGATATGGGGCCCATCAGGGAGGTGGAGGCAGGGGCAAAAGGAGGTGCCAAATGTCATGTTTGGGAATGATTATAAGGTTTGGTAGTAGTAGGTAGGAGTGAGGGCACCAAACATGCCCACAAGTTCTTCATTGTGGAAGGTAGGAGGGTGCGATTCCCTGAACCTCCAAAGCAGCTCAGAGATTACGGTATCTGGGACAAGGGTCTTTATGATTGCAGTTGGAACTGAAGAGATGGCTGAGTGGTTAGGAGCACTGACTGCTCTTCCAGAAGACCCATGTACAATTCCTAACACCCACATGGCAGCTCACAACTGTCTATAACTCCAGTTTCAGGGGATATGACATCCTCTCATCAATGCACATAACACACACACACACACACACACACACACACACACGTAATAAGTTACAATGGGGCCATAACATGTTGCGGAGGCCTCGATATACACACTGTACTACAAGAAATGGGACCACGACACAGACATACAGAAGAGCACATGGAGCAGACTGAATTGGCAAGCCAACAACAGAGGGCACAGGAGGCCAGAGGCCACAGCTATTGCCCTGTGACACCTCAGTTTCAGACATCTGACTTTCACAATCCTAAGACTATTCCTTTTTCCCCTGCTGTTGTTTTTGTTTTTCATTTTCTGGCTTTTGTTTTGGTGACACTAGGATAGAGTCCAGGGCCTCACTTATGCCACACAGTTGCCTAACCTGAGCCACATCTCCAGTGATTTGTAAAGGGAGGCTTTTTCCTTGAGAGAAGCCTTCCCGCCAGCCTGGTTCTAGAGCCGCATCAGTCCCAAATAAACACACAGGAGGCTATATTAATTATGAAGCTGTTGGCCTTGCTTGTTTCTTACTGGCTAGCTCTGACTTAAGTAATTACCCCATAATTGTTAATCTAAGTATGTCTCTTACCGGAGAAGTTTCCGGGCTTCCTACCCCATGGCATTACATCTCGACTCTCTGGTGTTTCTCCTTCCCAGAGTCCTCCTGGACTCCAAGTCCCACCTATCTAGATTCCTATTGGCTCAACAGTGCTTTATTGACATAAGACTTCCCCAACACAGTGAGACCTTTGTGTTGACTTCTTTATTTAAGTCACCATCTCTGCAGAACTCTGTGATAGAACCCTAGCAAAGGGAGGCCATGGGGACCAAGGCATGAAGGTAACAGCTAAACTACACAGCTTCCTAATTATACAGACTGAAAACACAAGATGATGGTACAAGTTTTTGAGAGGTGTGCAATCAATTTATTTAATAATTCAGTACAGCATTTAACAAAGAGAGAGCTCCTGGGTGAGTCACAGCCACAGAAGCAGAGGAGAAATGGAAGAATCCCTTCCCCCCATGATTTAACTTAAGGGTCTCCAGTGCCATCATGCCCTGGAGATTAAACTCCAAAGGAAGTGGGCTCAGGCAGCTGGGAGATTGATGAGGCTGAGGGCTGGGGTGAGAGGGGCCAGTGAGGACATCCAGTCTCAGATTGTTCCCAGCAAGTGAACTGGAGCCTTGGAATTCTGGGACGTAGGAGTTAGGGTAGGACTCAGGAAATGGTGTGCTCTATAACCTCAAGGTTGTAGGCCTTGTGCTCATATTGGCACCACAGCCTGGCATAATCCAAAGAATGGATGCAGAGGTTTTTTATTTTCAGGATGTCAGAATGCAGTTTGGTTGATCCTTGAGGATGAGATTTTCAGGAACCATCTGAGGAATGTAGACAGAACCTCAGATCTTGCACTGACAACATACAGGGGCACAACAGCTGGACTGACAGCAACATGGCTTGCAGCAGCTGTATTGACAGCAGCAGGGCTTGCAGCAGCAGGACTCACAGCAGCAGGGCTTGCAGCAGCTGGACTGACAGCAGCAGGGCTTGCAGCAGCTGGACTGACAGCAGCAGGGCTTGCAGCAGCTGGACTGACAGCAACATGACCCACAGCCTGAAGAGCAGCAGGGCTTGCAACAGCTGGACTGACAGCAGCAGGGCTTGCAGCAGCTGGATTGACAGCAAGATGACCCACAGCCTGAAGAGCAGCAGGGCTTGCAGCAGCTGCACTGGCAACCTCCACAGGAGCCACAGCCACCCTTGCAGCCCCCACAGGAGCCACAGCCTCCCTTGCAGCCTCCACAGGAACCACAGCCTCCCTTGCAGCCTCCACAGGAGCCACAGCCTCCCTTGCAGCCCCCACAGGAACCACAGCTTCCCTTGCAGCCCCCACAGGAGCCACAGCCTCCCTTGCAGCCTCCACAGCTGGAGCAGGAACAGGCAGGCACACAGCAGCACACAGGCTTGCAGCAGCTGGAGCCACAGCCCCCACAGCTGGAGCCACAGCCTCCGGAACAGCCACAGCAGCTCATGGTTCTGGTGTTGGGTTGAGGATGGAGTAGGTCAGAGAAGCAGATGTAGAGGGAATGGGCAGGTGTGGAGCCTCCTGAGTCTGAGGCCTTTATATGCCTGCCCAGGTATTTTCACTCAGCATATGATCACTTCTTTTTATGTTTACATGTTGACAAGACTTATTTTTAATCTCTGACGTCTAATGAACTACTGTTAAAGGAAGGAGGGAAGGAAAGAAAACAGGAAGTAAAGAAGGAATAAACAAAGGAAAGAGGAAGAAGGAAGGTAAGGACAGAGGGAGGGAAAGGCTGTCAATCTCTTCACACATTTAAAATTTTTCTGGTTTTGTTCCGGTGATTTCTATTGCTGTCCTCCGTCTTTGCCTATTTTTCCTTCAGCAGTGTCCAATATGCCATTAAATCCACTCATCCATCCATCATATTATTACTTCACAAACAGTGGGTGTTTTTCCATGTGGGTGTTTTCTGTTCTCTGCTGGGCACAGGTGAAGGCTCACAAGGCTGTAGAAGAATAAAGAAAGTGCAAATCCTCTTAGGGCCTACGGAAGGGAAAGTCTCAATATCCCTGCTTCAGTGCCAAGTGTGGCATCAAGATCATGGCTGGCCATCAAAGGAGGGTGGGACACCTGTTTCTGAGGACCAGTTCTTCTAAGATTACAATCTCCAAATGACAAAAACTTTCCCTGTCTCCAGCATAAGTCCAACACTGAGACAAAGCCATTTCTACACATGACCTGGCATTTCACAG